AAGGAGCCTCAAAAACAATTTCAGGAAGGCCAGTATAGGCCAACTTTTAGAGCAGCCAATAGGTTAAGGAGGATGGACACTGCCTCTTGACTGGGAAGAGCCTGGAGTACAAAACACAGTGTTCTCCTGTAAAAACACACATATGTTTTGAAAGCAAGAATGTTTTCTTGGTTTTCTAGAAAGAAGGAAACTAAAGAGTATTAAAAGATCTTCTTCCAGCCAGGCCAGCACTCACAAACAGATGTTATTAGCGATTCGGGAACAGAACACTACCCACCAGGACAGTTTGTTCTGAACCAGCTTCTGTAACCTACTTTTTAACTTACGCTTTGCTTTTGAAGGAAGGCTCTCCACCAGACTGACCTCCGGTGCAGTGTCCTTGAATAGTACTTTCTCATATTAAATCTGTCCTTGAATAGTACTTTCTAGTTATTAATTTTTATGGATGACTGTCATAACATCGGCAATAGGAGCGTTTCATTTACCACCTGAAACAGCAACATGTTAGAAGCAAACGAACATGAAACCATGCCACATATTTCAATACATTTGCTTCCATGAGTTTTAAACCACCAAAGTGGAAAGTTTTTAACACAAATCTACACAAGTTCAACTATTTTTCAAAGCTTACTCAGGCTGGCAAATACCACAGTTTCATTCAAATGGTTAAGCAAAATCTTTACAAAAAGATGGATGAGTCTATCTTCATTTAAATCAGTGGTAAAATACCTATCAAGACTAGGATTCCCCATCACCCCCAGTATGCAATTTAACTAAACTAGCTTCATCCTAACTGAAATAAAACTCCATCGTATGAACAAGTCATGGAAACAGCTAAGTAATCTTACCACAGCAGCATTTAGCTTTGCTTACCGCTCACTACATTATGTCCATACCTAACTTAGATATGGAGAACTCCAAAATCAGGACGAAACCTTCCACTTACACTGCAGACTTTCTTAGGCATATCTTAAACTGCTGTTCTTAGGCAGTTCTTAACACACGTCTGCTGTTGCTTCAGTCATTCATTAACTTACTGCAAAATCTGCTTCATTCTTCTTATTGCAAGACCCTGTTTACAGCCACATATAAACGTATGAAACCATTTTCTCCACTGATCTGCAGGATAAGTAAACTTTTCACTATCATTGTGCCACATAAAACTTAAAAAGTGATGAGGCCACTTTCCATTGTGTATTTTATTTACACTTTCATTTCTCATTCAAAACTCTTTACAATGATTTTACATTAATCCACAGAAATAATTTATACCATAATGAAGTACTCCTTAGGCTTAAGCAGTAGCTCTTGGTGCTGTCAACCAGATGAAAACACTAAAAACTTTCTGGTGACTTATTTGGCTCTTGTTTCTGATAAAAACAAACGTAGAACAGCAGTACCCTGCCACTCAGCTGTTTTTTTCCTTCTGTGATGGGTATCCTTTGACATAAATTTGGCTGTCAAAATATACACAATACCAAAATAGAAACACCAGTAAATAGTGTGAATGACATAGCTGAGCCTGGGCACAGCTATGGTGGCAATGGGAACAGGAAGAGGGAAGCATAGCATTCCATAAGGAGGAAATAGGTATATCATGTATGTTTTATTTTTGTAGAATAAAGGCAGAGGGACATGTACACCAGTACAAAATATTCACATTTGGTCTTTGTATATTTAAAAAAAAAAAAAAAGACAGAAATTGAAGGAAAGCACCCAGATACTTTCAACTCTGTCAATATAACCAGGCATTGAACTGGATTATGACAGCTTTCATAAAGCTGCAGTGGTTTATCTGGACTAAATATTTAATTATTTTTTTTAATAACCATTAGTACACTTTTTGTGCTGGACCATCAGCACGCTTTTTGTGCTGGAGGAGACCTAGGCCACATCACCTTAGTTGCTCAGTGCAAAGTTCTTAAATATGCAACATCCAAAACCAAATCATCCCCGAGTTACTCAGACAACCCCTGATGTAATCCTTGCACGAGTGAAAGCAGTGAGTAGAAAAACCCTTCTCTTCTCTGCTCTTAACCACTACAATCTGTACATCTCCTAGGACTATTCTTCTCCCATCTGTACCCTGTTTTTATAAATTTAGTGGCTTTCTGCTGCATTATAAACACACAAAGAGATGAGCAGCCTTCTTAAAATACAAGATCTAGTTCCCATTGTTTTAGTCAGAAAGGACTTCAAAAAGTCAAAGAAACGAAACCTTTCCCAGCCAACAGATGGTTCTCACCAAGAGTTATCAGAAAAGAGCAGACAAAGAATGAAATTACCAGGTAATGGACAATAACCAAACCAGAATACTTTAGACCACTTAATATGGATTAAAACAAAATCACTGCCTGTATAGAAGTAATTATATAAAAACTGGAACCTAGCTAAAAGCACAAGAAAGTATCAAGTTAAAACCGCTTAATTTAATATTAGGTACTTCACGGCCCTCTTGTGGTTACAACTCTGATACAGAAAATTCACAAAGAATTGCTTTTGAAATAATACTACTGAAGTGTACTGAAGTAATGTGTTTTATTTTTACCACTCCCATGTAATTAAGGACATTTAGGATGCAGAGTTGCCTAGTAAATTACCAGAAGGCGGAAAAATCTACAAACTAGTATGTGTTCATGAAATCAGATAACAGGTGGTATGTTTTGTTCTTAACAGAAATGAGAAGTTACTAACATTCTCAGCCGTGCACAAGCATAAAAAAAAAAGAAAAAAATACGATTGATCTCTCAAACCTGCATCAGAATTACCTTAATACACAACTAAATACATGTTTCTAAAAAATGCACTTGCTTTGTCCGTTTATTACATCACTTTAACCTTCCTCTGGCTTCCACAAAACTGTCAGTGCACAACACCAGCAACAAAAAAAAACCCACAAAACAAATAAACAAAAATAAGAATTTTTAATCTTCATCACCGTATATTTAGAAATATTCTGGGCATACTCCTATAGATTTGATTTGCAAAAGAGAAAGTTATCAAAGTAAAATTTGATATTGAAAGTAAAATTTGATATTGAAAATTACAAATTGAAAGAGGGCAGATTTAGATTAGATATAAGGAAGAAATTTTTCACTCAGAGGGTGGTGAGGCACTGGTACAGGTTGCCCAGAGGAGTTGTAGATGCCCCATCCCTGGAAGTGTTCAAGGCCAGGTTGGATGAGGCTTTGGGCAACCTGGTGTAGTGGAGGGTTTCCCTTTCCATGGCAGGGGGGTTGGAACTAGATGATCTTTGAGGTCCCTTCCAACCCTAACCATTCTATGATTCTATGAAAGGATTAGCAAGGCAAAAATCTACATCCATTGGCAAATACAATCTATAAAAGGATTAACAAGGCAAAAATCTACATCCATCGGCAAGTGGAAAAGGTTTGTTACTTCCTAATTTGGTATTTTATCTGCCCAAGTCTTAGCAAGCCATTTCACTGCAAGGCAATACATTGATATCGCCTGCTTAGTACATCTAATTAAAGTCAACCTTGTCAATTCCTTATGGCTTTGCAGTCCACACACAAGATGAGAGAACAGAAGACCCTAGTATAACAAGAAGACACTTCCCTACGAGCTTAAGTGTCACACCACCAATGAATGATGATGAATATACTGCTTTCACAAGCCACGTTTTCCTCAGATGCCTAATATCAAATCAGATGTTTTCAATCCCTCCTCTCAGTCTCGCCTCTCAATGTACATGTGTCCTTGAAAGCTTGATAGTTGAGTACAGCAACATCTGTGCGAGTTCCTATAATGTGCCACAAAATCAGCTTTTCCTGGTAAGATGATCGCCCACCCACTGCCTCAAGTCAATTTTTCTTTTTTTTTTTTTTTTTGTAAAAGGGGAGGAAGAAAGATTACACTGGTAGGTGGCGAAAGGAATGCCTGTGGAGCAGAACAATTAAGCAACTCAGCTGTCTAAGCATTACAGGAAGCTACAAGATGATGACTTGGGTAGCATTTAAGTGTGGTAGTCAAGGCAGAGTCAAGTGACTGCCAGGTGGCCACCATCCATGTGACTGTGATGCCTTTGTCTACCTTTACAATATGGGAGGGTGATATTTGTATCTTCCTCCAGTATAAAAGTTTTCCTATGTAATACATTCATTTTTCTTTGGAAATTTTTAGCTCCAGTTTTGTTAACACAAAAGAAAAATATTATCCTTTCTGACTAGTTCATTCAGAATGGGTATGTCAAGCTTTAAGCTAGTTCTCTACACCACAGAGCTGCCCAGTGTTTGTTTTTTTTAAAAAAAAAGAAAAACTGGCATTTTTTCACAAAAATTGCATCTGCAAGATTTCGCAAGTTCACCACATATTCAGAGGATTGCTTTACCCTTCATCTATCATGCTACAAATTACATCCTACTCTGTCTTTATTCCACAGTAAAACATGTAACAAATTTACTCTTGAAGTACACAAACAGAAACTCAAAACAGAAACAGATCATCAGTCACAATAGTTACAAGTCTCCATCTAAGCTCAAGACAGCAGAATAGGACAAACAGAACGAAACACCAGTTGCAAAGGTTTTCTTTACCTATCTACATTAACAGAAAAAGAGAAGTTTCATGCCTTTTAGAGATCTTAAGACTACGACAAACACGAAAAATAGCCACATAACACCACTTTCAGATCCCAAAGATAAGTGCATGAGCTTTGAAATAAATCCAACAGATCACATGATCGGGCACGTGGAAGGAAGACAATCTAAATGAAAAAAACAAGTGTTTAGGTGCACAAAACTTTCACAGGCCTGAGGCAGAAGCCATGAATTTCAGTCTAAATACAATTTAAGAATGAGTGCACAGAACTCAGTGGGATTTAAGGAGTTTTCAAGCCAGCAGCAAAGTACAGCCATTCTGAAATGCGTCTTTACAGAACTACACACTAATGCCTACTTCTCAATCTAAACTCTCAATAGCTATTCTGTAATTAAAAAAAGGAAAAAAAGCCAAAACAACAAAATCCCCATAGAACATACCTCATGGAGGTTATACTGTTGATGAGCTTTTCAGATTGATCTGACAAGCTAGATGGAAGTACTATTTCAACTGGCTGCAGGCGCAAAATCCGACTCTCTAATTCTAAGCGAGATGCACAGTCCCGAAAACTGTCAAAAATTACTTCTCCAGTAGTTGGTTGGATGGCCTGTCAAATAAAATATATATATATATATATGCACATTGAATATTTAATTTTTCACAGAGCATTTCAATGACTTAAATTGCTAAGCCAGATAGAAAATTTATGGTGTATAGCACACAATCACAGCACCCACACATTTAGTGGAAGTCAGATCAAAAAATATAATTGTGTTTTTCAAATCTATGATATTGTAGTAACTTCAAAAGACTACAACAATTTTGTCTTGGTAAATGATAACAATACCTTAAAAACGTAAATGTGCTCTTGTTATCATCAGCCCATCACTGCTCGGCTTTTATTACTAGGCAAATCTATATAATTGGAAGTCTATGGAAGGTACATGGAATTCAGCCTGGAAACTAACTGTCATCCTAGGACATGCCTTTGTTTTTCTCTCCCATCTGTAGTATGACATTCAAATACAAGCACAATCAAGATGCTTTTAAATTCATGAATTACCAGCAGACTGGGCTTCAGTTATCACTGTGTTTTGCCAGTTAAACAATTCTGGTTTTAATTTTCACCATAAAACGGAATACAATTTTGAGGTGTAAACAGTAAAAAAGCCTAAGTCTCTTCCCCTAAAGAACAGTGTTTTGTAGAGGTAAAAAGTGCTCATGGGCTTTAAAATACTGAGCCTAAAACCGTTTAAAGTTAGTAAAGCATCTGAACTAATCATTTCCCTGTATTTGGTTAAAACACAGCTATGTTTTCCAAGTGATACAGCAGCAAAAACAGCATCAGCAATATTCAGCTGTAACTCCAGACCTTTTCTGTAGTTTTCAAATACAAAGCCATCACAATTCACACACAGATGATATCTTACCTAAACACACCTTGTTACAAAAATCAAAACCCCCCAAAAAAATCTAAAAGACAGAACAATCACGAATTTAAGGTAACCATCCACCTCTCAAAAAAACCCAACAAAACAATCACCTGAAAAATCCTCTAATACTGATTCCCCTGTGAAACTGACTTACCATAATGCCTATAACAATGTCACCTTTCTTCCTGTCTTTTAAGTTTTCTCCATTTTCACAGATACAGAGCAGGTAGTTATCGGGGACATCTGTTGTTACTTCTTCAACATCTACAGAATCATCTAGCTTCAGCAAAGGGTTCACATGTGAAAAACGTTAAAAAAAATAAAAATAGTACACGGTGGCTTATTCATAGGACCTTCTAGATCTAAGTCCTTCTCAACTAGATTTTGTGTTGGGCTTTCCAGTCTAAAGGTCTAATTAACTTTTATCAGTTTGACTCCTACTATGATTTTAGTGAACTTCAGATGACCACCAGCAAGAGGACTGAAGCCAGCGGTTGTCTTCTCAGGACAGGCAGTTACACGATGCACAGATCTCATCAGCTCACACAAAGGCCATCTTTGACTATGTCTGTGGGTCTCCCCATTCAAGCAAGAGCAGCTATGTCAAAAGTTAAACCACCAGCTGATTCTTCTGCACATGGGCTGCTCCACCTTGTCATTTTGACTTCGTATTCACAAACTACATGCCCCTAACAAAAAAACTAAATGCACTAGGTATGCAGCAACTGAAAAGCAGGCAATACCCTAGTTAAACAAAAGCCTACATCTTAGCAGGAGCATTAGGTTAGTTGCACTGAAAACTTTCTGCGTATCTATCTACACTGCTGAGCCTGCTTTCATCCAGTTTGCCGAACACTACAAGACAGTCTGCGAGTACACTAGAATTTTTCCAACAAAATCTCAGGACTGTGTTATCTGCTTCCCTGATCCACTCCTTAAGTGCAACCTCATATGCATTAACCTAACAATCATTTTAGCTCTTGGTATCTAGTAAGGACTAGTTTGAGAAATTGAAGAAAAAAAAATGGGGTAGATAAGGCAGGAGACAGGAAAAACAAAAACTGGAAGGAAAGAAATTAACAACTTCACTGGTTAAAAGCTGTTTCTATCTCATTTCTTGCATTTCCTTTGTTAAAACATTCAGGAGTTAAGTACCTAGCTAGATTTTTAACACACCATTGATTTTACCGCCTTCTTGTCACTTAAAGCAAATTGTTGATACCAAACAGTCAATTCTTCCTGCACACCCTCCTGAATCACTAATGCTATGCACTCTCAATCCAGTGAAACACCTAGCTGTAGACCTACAGAAGACTGTAGACTTGGGAACTCTACTCTCTGACATCAGAAAACAACTACAGTTAAACACAAGCTCTGCTGTTCACAATAAACCTAAAGCCCTGAAGAGATTAAATTCTTTATAAAGCCAGCACAATGTTTTACCACAACATAAAATTAAAGGAACTTTATTTCCTGCTGCCACTCTTATGTCAGCCACTAGCTACTCATGTTCCATCTAAGAGATAATACTAAAATTATGGCCTCTTATACACCAAAGATTAGAGCGTGAAACCAAATTTCTTTGAAAAGGATATCTTCTCCAATAAGGGTAGACTTTGTGTAGAGAGCAGTCAGTTTCCGGCTGAAGAGAGAGCTTTTATTTTCTCCAGCAGCCTTCAGTGCTGCAGTTTCCGTTTGTTTTATTACTCCAACCTAGAAGCACACAGACAAGAAACAAAGTCAGCTCTTACAATAAATGATTTATTTTTTAATTTTGTAAATTTGGTGATCTTTCAAGATGTGCAAACAGTAAGTGCATCACTAAAGCTGAGAAGGAATGGCAGAGGTTAGCATTAATCCTACTACATCACTGCTTTTCCTTATGCTCTATCCAATTCTAACTGCCCTCAACTTCTGCCCCTGTGCTTCTTGTCCTAGTCGGAAACAATTTAGCTGGAGTTCATGGCTTGTTGGAGAATGGTTGCTGCAATCAATTTAAATTCAACAAGTCTTTTTCTCATAAGGGAAAAAAAAAAAAAGAGGTATCAGAAAGCCACAGAATTACAGGTAGGAAAAGAGAAAAAAATATGGGCTGGAATAAGAAAAACAAGGATGTGAAGAAGAATAAGAGAGAGCAACACATAGATTTCTCCTTATCAAATGCAAAAGCTTAATAAAAACTGAGAGAAAGAATTGTTCTACAACTGTTGCAGAAAACACAAAGATACTTCTCTCTAAAACAGAGGAAGCCTGAATCCATTTAAACTTCCTGACACTAATGAGAACAGAGAAATTGAAACAAAGGAAAGGTTTTTCATTTTGCATTTCAACTGCAAAAAGAGGTGATAATGAGTTTCCCACTTCTCAGTTGAAATGAGACTACTACAATAAGTGCAAATTATTTCAGTGCCATTCCATATCCAACATAATTTAATAAAAGCTAGGGATAACCTTATATCCTTTTGCTACTAGTCGCCGCACATGGACAAACAGCCTGTGAGTCGGTATACTGGCAGTCATGAAGTTATGATCCTGATGACAATAAATGTTCAGTTCTTTAGCTGCGATCTGCAAAGTACAAAACGAAGAGTCAGCCAATAGCTCAAAACGCAAAACAGGAGCTCATCTCTGTGACAACACTGATGCACAACTACAATTGAAAGTTCTGTGTCAGAAGGAAAACATTACAGGAAAAACCCCAGAGAGCTGGGCCACTCCACCTTCCTGTCCCAGCATGTTGTCACAAACAGGGGCTTCGTTATCACAGACCTCATGTGTCAGATTACTACGCTGCACCTTCATCTTTACCATCATGAGGTAAATCACCTACATAGTACACACAGATTCTGCAACGCAGCTCAGCAAAGAGTCAAATAATTTTCACAACACTAAAAATGCAGAAAGAATGGAGTTACTTTAATTGTGGTTATAAAGATGGAACTAAGCTAGCTAATAAATTAAAATACTGGAAAAATCAATATCGAAGAGCACTGGAAACTAAATAGTTCATAGAAAAAGAGTAGCAACACTTGTTAAAATGTGACATTATAATGTATGATTTGTATTTGCTTTCCTGCCCCAGGGCAAAAAGGTAGATGTTCACTGACTACGGAAAGTGGTCTTAAGCAGGAACTGCAGTCAAACACTAAACTGTGTACCTCTGTAGTATATTTCTATTTCTGGACTGTGAACGCAGAAGCAAACAAGTAGACAAATTACACAGTACAAATGTGACCAGGAAAATTAATTCCCAGTAACTAAGCAAAGTTTCTCAGTGGTATTGAGTGTGGAAATAGCACAGATCAAAGGTTAAATTGGTAGCAACAATTTTGGGACAGAAAACACTCATTATGAACCATTTACGAACCATCATTTTAAAATTATGTTTGTTGCAAAATACTTTCCAGCTCCTAAAGATCTGGCACATGTAGGTGCAGCATTTGAACATGCATGCAAGATGCTCTCTGCACCCGACTACACCAGCTGTACTCATCTATTTTTACACTACTTACTCCACCGCCTTCCAAACTGAAATACTTCTAGTAGAGTTTTGGATCATGACAGAGAATTCACCTTAAACTGTCTCAACTTTAACTCTGACAAGTCATTACTTTAGGACCTCATCTTAAGTTTTCAATATGCAGGATAGCAAGCACTAGCATACAATTACAAAATAATAAACACTATTTTGGTAAAAAGTGGATGCGTAATGGATAGTCTTCAGTTTAAGCCTGCAGAGATTTTTAACCTTGATTTCAAGTATGTAAAAAAAAAATACAAAGTTTATGCCCCCAAGCAACCTTCCTTCTGGAAGCAGCCATATTCCTAGTATGACACTAACATAATGCACGTTATCTTTTCCATAACCCTTGCAAAAATTACCTCTGCATCCTCTCCAAAGAAGCGATATTTGTATCCACATTCCACGCACAAAACAGCATCTTTATACTGTTTCTTCATTTCTATGAATTGAAGTTCTAGTGGAGTATAAATGCTTTTGGTTCTCTTATTAAGATTTGTATCTACAGTATTTTGAGTATTTTCGTAAGACTTGAGAGATGCAGAAAACTGACTAAGATCACAGCGTAACTCCTCCTGTAAATGAAAGATGGAAAAGTATAGTTAGGAATCATCAAATAAATCCATCACCCCTGCAGACCTTGACTCACATTGACTACAAAGCTGAAGACACTTCTTGCAGCAATTAGTCCCAAGAACTGCAGCAAAACTATTAAAGTAGGATATACAAAATACAGTTTATTTGGAACTAAAAAGTCACGAAAGTCAAAGATTTTGCATCAATTAGTCAACTTGCTTTACAACAGTCCTTAGACATCTCAGCTAAAACCAGATCCCTGTTGTATCATCAGCTCTCAAAACACAGATCAAGAGACATGCAGGCTGCGAAGACTGAGCAGTCTAAAGTGGCCACACACAAAAATAAGGATGAATTACCACTCCAATCTACAGATGAGAAACTGCAGTACAGAGAGATCAATGATGTTCTAAAAGTCCACAGTAAATCAAGAAATAAAGCAATTCTATACAAACCTCAGTACACTGTCTCAAGCACCAAAGCCATATTTCTTCTCTAGCCATATTTCTTCTCTAGCCTGCCCTTCCTACATAAGCTCGGCAAACCTCTCAAGATAATTTATTCTTAAACACAGAAAATCTATACTACAGTTTCTAAACCCCTTAGCAGTTAAGGCTTTGAGCCCGCTTTCTCTGCAGTTTATCATCTACAATGACATTATGCAGCCTAGGCTAACCGAGCAACTTCAGCTCTACAACTTTGTTTTGTTCTGCACGCAGGGTGACAGATTTGGTCTTTCAGAAGTGCAGTGAGCAACACTGATAAGGTGCGCTTCACTTACAGCAAAGTTTCTCCTCACTTTATCACAATAAAACTGGTTAAATAAAAAAAAAAAAGACAAAACCCTCCTTAAGTTTTGAAAGCCTATGACTATACAAAACACAATTGATTAGGTTGTGCTGTGAGCTTCTGTATCTGCAAACAAACCTGGTAAACTTCAATTTCTTACAACTACCCCATCTAAATTACAAGGAACAAAGTTAACAGGGTGTTTAGAAGCAATGATAACTCAGAAGAAACACAGAGATGGCACAAATCATATACTTCGGGTCATGACAGTGTACAAAGAACGTAGACAGAAAACAACGGGGGGAAAAAAAGAACACTTAGATGTATTGTTAACTGTGAATTGCAAAATTCCCAGAATGGCACACAATCAAGGGATGACACATTTGACAAGCAGACAGCATGGGCCAGCACAAAAAAAGCTGTGCCATGCCTAGAACTCAGATGGCCCCAGGAGCTTACATGTCTCTACTGCAAAATCCTCAGCCCAAGGATTCAGCGGTCTTTGATAGAAGGTCTGTGCCAGCCCAGCAGTATGACCTTGTCTCATTTTACAGAGAATATTGTTGTGACAAAGCATGTGGAATAAGGTCAAGAAAGAAAGTAAAAGAAGTAAAAACACACACGGAAGTTGAATTGTTGAGACGGTAGTAAGTGAGTGGCTCAAGGAATTGAGAAGAGAATTACTCACATAAAAAAGTTATAAATCTAAGGAAAACACAAGACATGGCCAGCACAGACTCAGTAGGTGTCTTACAGAGAAGGATTTTAGTAACGCTTTGTCAAGCAAGTCATGAGTCTTCACTATCTATGGAGTATATTAAGTAAGAAATAATTGCTCTTTACTTTTACTTTGCATACACCTTGCTTGCAGAGTCTCTCTGCACGTGGTTAAAGCTGACCTTCCTCGTGATCTAGGAAGGGAGAGCTAACGGCGGTCATCATCTCACAGACAACCTGTGATCGACTGGACTCAAGCGCTGTTTGGTGACAAGCATCTAAGCATACGAATACGCAGCGGAAACACTGCTGTAAAAAGCACACCAGCGCTAGTGCGCTGCAAACCAATTTCGGAACAGGAAGGCAGAGACACTGCACCAGCTGATACACGGTACATTAACAAACACGTATGTTCAAAGACAAAGAGAAACCTGAATTCTGCAGAAACAGCCACCTTAGGCCCACAGCTTCGTGGAGGGAGAGCTGCACACGCCTTTGCTCACCAAACATGCACTTCTCCTGCAGTTACTGTAACACACACATTTTTAACCAACAACCTACACCAGGCATATGCTCTCTCCAGTGTTATTGAAGAGAGAGTCACTAAGATAAAAGGAAAAATACTTCTCATGCATGTGAAACATGCATGCACGTGTAAAACACCTATTTTACAGTTTCAGCAGCTACCATTGCTTCTCAAACATCTGTGAGACATGCTAAAGTATGATTTACAGATCAAACTAGCAGGGGTAGCATCTGTTGTCAATGTAACTGAGTGGACAAAGGGTTGGAAATTAAGAAGTCCTAGACAGACCAGGGTTTGAAAAAGAGGGACAGAGAAGGCATCAGTCTTCTGTGTTCTCCAACTAACCACACCTACATAATCTCAATCACTATCACAACAGAAGCCTCTTGCCACAAACTGTTCGCTATTCTTAACTTTGATCTCATGTTCACACAACACAGACACCCCAGTTTAGGGTCATGACCTTCAGACAGGAAAGGCCAAATCAACTACACAACCTTTCATACAACCTCCTTCCTTCAAAAAGCCAGACGTAAAGCTTTGTTAAAGAGCAGCTGAGTCCCAATGCAACACCACCACAGTAAACCATCAGATGCCTTTCAGGACCTGAGTATGTCAAACTGAGCAAAGCGAGCCCTAAAACTAACCAATTAACTAATGTTAACTAGCCCCATAATAAAAGGAGAAGTAGGGCAGTACTATACTCTTATCAACCTGTATCGTAGGTATCATAGTGATAATTTTTCATGGGAGCTACCCATATCCTCTGCAGATGAAAAAAACAGTGATATCTTTAGTAGTTACATTTATTAGCAACTGGATTAAGCTACATCTCCGTAATAATTCTGAAGTGCATTTTTGCAAAGAAAGCCTGTTAAGAATTTTACAGCACATATCAAAACCGAAAGAAACTCTTTTCAGTTTTCAGAACTGAAAGCAAGCTAAGCAAAGGGCCACACGGAGCATCTGTTATTATGATGTTATAGGTTCATTCACAATCACAAGATACACTGCCAGTGTTTCTGCTCTCTCATTACTGCTTTTTTCAGTGATATCACTGAAGAATTACAAAAGGCATTCTACTAACTATGCTAAGAGTTCCAGGAAAACATCCACAAACAAACACGGATCTATTGGGTACTGCTGCACTACTTCACAACAGAACACAAGAAAAACACAAAAGGAATCTTGTGCCAAAGCTGGCTTTTTTTTAAACCGTAAAAAGCAATCTACACAGCACTGGACCAAAGCTCTACGTACCTTCTGAGCAACCTTTGGGCTAGTGTCCCAAGACTGAAGAGGGTTTTTCAATTCTGAACTCCTCCCAATAACACTGGGACATTTTTCCAAAATCAGAGATTCTTTCTCCCGAAAACTATCCTCCCGGACTCTGTTACACTGCTGGTCTGAATCACTGCAGAATTCTCTCAGTCTGTCTAGAGTTTGCAAACATATACGGGGCCTTTCACACTTCTGAGGTTCTTCTTCAGTAAAAATACACAACAAAAATGTATTAGGAACTTATTTTCTAAAACAGAATGTCTATTAGAATGACATTGGTAAGCAGACAGTGCAACCATTTTGTTCTGTCTCTCTCTTCCCTATATTCCTTCTCCCCTCCCATCGCAGTATTTCTGCCAGCCTGACAGAAACATGCATGTAACCAGCTTGGTTAACTTCCCTGGTAAATCAATACTCCTCATTTGTATGCCTCTTCAAATATGGGATAAGAAGTACAATTATTTTCTGGACTGAAAACTGCAGAGTCACAAAATTAGCCAAGAATATTGGAAAACAAGTGGCATTTTCCCAGTTCAGTTTTTAAGCAGATAGTACTGCTAGTTGATGGTGTCTTAATGATACTTCAAACTGTCACACCCACAAAACTGAACATAATTCCCTCTTTAAAAAACTTATAGAGGCTGATTCTTTTCAATAAAGTGTAAGTACAGTGAACTTTATATTCACTGATTTGTCTTTCTACTAGGATCGTTACTTTGTTAAATGCTTTGTTCAAAGCCAGACAGAGCACAGGCATTTTCAATGTAATTGAGTGGCTGTCACTTCACAGTTAAGAGCACTGCATTAGAACTATTTACTTTGAGGTAGCTTTTAGGTATCCCAGCCACAGGTCAGGCTCCACTGAGCTGTCAGGTGTCAGTCGTGCTTCAGCCTGAGTCTACATGACAGACTGTTAAACCAACACACAAAAGGAAGCTGCAGCATTTCTGCCTGGGCGTCTGGACTTCACTGACTCAACAACCTGCTAAAGCTGAGTCAGTCGAAGGGGATTTGTGGAGTAATTCTGGACTAAGGCTCAAATACCTAGCTTCTGAGCCACAGAAAGGTGCTTTAACAGTATAGCTAGTATGCTCATAACGGCTCTTCAGAGATGTATCTTACATTTAAGAGACACTTCCTAAAGTATCTGCTGACATATTTTTTTACATTTGACAATGAAAACCTATTTATTTGGTATAAATACTTGAAAGTTTCTTTATAGTCAACTCACTTTTATCCTGAGTCTTCAATGGGTTACAGATGTCTTCTAGAGTAATTTGTCGTGTCTTAGTCTTCTTTTCACAGGGTTCATTGCTTTCAGTTGATGTTCTCCTTTTTGTGTCAAATTCAGAAGCCTGAAACATACATTAAACAAAGTTCAGTTACTTCTTCTCTTTGCCATCCTCTATGAAAGACAAGAATGCACTCAAGGATTTCATAAAGAGATAATGCAAAATCAATTTACAATACGAGAAATCCCTAACTATTTTAACTATCTACACTTTTTGTTTATAAAACAGTTCTTCTAACATTCAGGGTTACAAGAGGAAGAGAAATAGTGCATTCTGTGAATAAGTTATCTGTTGTGCTAGAAAACAAACACCTGCAGCTACCACGCCTTCAAAAGGCAGCTTAGAGCTACTTCTGTGGTAGAGAAGCGAACCAGCACTTAATAGACCTTCCCATCATACCACATACTACCACCCTGTGTCTGAATTGGATCTCTTCTGCATATCCTCATTCCCACGGTTCGGAGCCCTCTTATTGCCAGATACTGGCTATTCACCTCCGAGAGGCACCACTTCCCATGGCCCACATCCCAAAGATGGAAGAATATCTTCTCCACACCATCCTGGCAGTGTTAATCCAGACTAAAAGATTTTCCTAAACTATCTATAAACACCTAGCTACCATCATCCTGGGTTTGTACAGAACACAGTGCTTTCAACTACTGCTCCTTAGATGGCTTTTGACACATGCACTTTTAACACTTTGTAAACAGGAAATTCATGAATTTATGTTGTTTGATGAAATTGTTTGTACTGTTTGAGAGAACACAAGAAGTATGACCAAATATAAAAAAGTAACTTGCAACTGCAAAAACGTATGAACACATTATCATTTCACTTTGTGGATAAACACACAACAGGTGCTTTTAGCAGCTTGCATTCACATTTCATATGGTAATCTCTGGTGGTTTAAGTGTTTTACTGGGGAAATTCAATCTCTTTATAACTAAGCAGGAACTCCACTCTCAGCAACTAAGCCCGTAACCTATACATAGCGCATCCATTTGCACAGCCCATGAGCAGTAAAGTTTCTCTTCCAAGTCCACTATTGTATGCCACCAGATTAACACGAATTAGGAAACAGTTTTTCTGCATGGACAGAAAGCAGTAATCACACCTTTCAAAATATATTTGGACTAAAGATGACAGAAAAGATTGATTTCAGAGACAGGTGAAAAAAGCATACACCCTTCTAGAGCTAAAGACAGCTAGAAACATTAACTACGGCGACAGTGGAAAACATAAAATCAGGGTAAAATCAAATTGCTGGGAAACAATTTTTTCCCAGTAGCAACATGCAGAGGCTGCTGGACAATGCAGGGCCTCTTGGCCTTGCACCTAACAGCAGACTAAGAGTCAACAAAGCCGCAAGAGCTGGGCCAGGAGCTCAGCCCACCGCATGCCAGGAGGCAGCACCTGTGCCAGAAGGTCCAACGCTACTGCCAGGGAGCGATGCCCCTGCAACACAAACTGGCACATTGGCTTTGCCAAGTTTGCTGTATCCGTGCCAAGCTTCCTTTCCTACAAAATGGGCATATCCGGGCTTCTTCCTGAAAAACTAGGTCTCTCTGCCCTGTGTTACACAAGGCAAAGCGTTGGTAACTGGAAGGCCCTGCCTGTTGGCAAGGCACCCCTTCGTGCAGCAGGTCCGCGGCCAGCTCCCGCCATCCTTCCTGACGTGATTT